AAATGATATATATATAGAAAAAAAATATTAAGAAAATTAAAATTATAGTTCTTTTATATTAATTAATAATATAAAATTTTAACTTTTTTTTTTCTAGTAAATCATGCAAGTCCCACCAACCCATCAATTCCACATGTTACAGTATACCCTCAACACCCACACCCACCATAGGCATTCAGCCTACGTTAAAACTCGCTGCATCCTAAATTGTAGTAAACAAATCCATTAGAGAACCACAGCTGCCTAAAACTACGTACATGCCACCTAATCTAAACTTGCCTAAAAAAATGGTTATCTGAAACTCAAACAAAAGTTTAGCCTACTCCACACGTACAACCCTCCTAATCCCATTAGTTATACAACGGTCAGCGACTATATATCAAATATATCTGGCCGTTGTCGTCAAGTTATGTCGGTTGGGTTTCAAGCAGTGTAAAATCAAGGCACCTAGATGTTGGTACCATCCTCTGAGCCTCACCAAATAAAATCCACTTGGTTGTAAATGAACATATCGAAGAAATACAATTCAAATGGAATAATTGCTAGACATAAAGCTGATCACCTTATTGCATATGGCTTTAAAGTCCAGTGGCCAAAATGTGATATCATAATTGTACTCACAATTTCTCTGATCAATTGTGACATACTGACCCACCAACTGAATGTCTCAGAAGCTTTCCTCCATGATCTTATTAAAATGGTCTACATGAAGCAACTTCTTAGCTACATTGACTCACAAAACTCTTTCTCCCAATTTAGCTTATAACCCTCATCTTGTCGACACACTCCAATATCTCACTATAACCTACCCCGAATATAGCTTATGTTGTTGATCGTTCTTATCAAAACATGAACAATCCTCTCATCCATTACTTTCAACTTTAAAAATGCATTCTAAATTACTTTTTTTTTTAACAAAAAAGATATTTTATTCCAACACAAAATGAAGTACAAAAGGCAGAAATACAGAACAAGAGAGAGTTACAAAAGAGACGAAGGCATAAAAGCCCACCGGGCTCAATAAGACCCTAGACTACGCTCTACAACCCATACATTAGTCCCGGCCCTCACCCTCCATGCATATTGATCAGACTCCAATTGGGCAAGTGATTCAATCGACCACAAGCCAACTTATGGCTACTACTCTTTCCTTAGTTACACCTTAGTCTTTTGGTGTGTCAAGAAATAGTTGACAGTTACACGTTTCTTCACAGAAGCGGAATATATAAAACTTACAACTACAGGAACAAGCATTATTAATTTGAAACTTACATCTACATTCTCCTCATATGTGTGTTCTCTACTGCGTATTATAAGTATGCAAAAAAAAAAAATCAAGATAATTTAAAATGGAAGACTTAACTTGTTATAATACAGGATTAAAGTTTATTTAATTTTAAACGTATTATATATAGGCTAATTTATAAAGCCTACTGGCCGTTAAAGAAGATTAAGTACCGGATTAAGGAAGTCATATTTGTTATAAAAAAAACTACAGGTTTTTATTAAATCTACAATCTCTATTGTAATAATAAAAAAGCATAAATAAAACTAAAATTATTATAATTTATTTATACAGCAATCAGAAAGTTTATGTTAATTTTTTATTTTATAATAAACTGGGAAGATTAATTCATGCATGTTAAAGTATTATTATGTCCTATCAGTCTGTCTCATCTCTTCAAAGTTGCTGCAAGCTTGGACCATCATCAATCACCTAAACATGCTTAGAGGAGACATTAAATATGCACATATGATTATCAAAAAAAGATGATTAGAGATCGCATAGATGCATGTACATAGTACAAAAGACAGATTATTATTCATAAAATATAGAAACCTTTTCATAAGAGACAAATAAAAACATAAAAATTTTCAAAATCTTAGATTAGCAGATATCTGAAAAGAAAAACAAGTTTTTTGAAAAGAGGGAACATGAAAGAAACTATACGTAAATCCAGATGTCCAGTCGAGCAACACTATCTTGTATTCCCCAACCTTCTAAATAAAGAAAATTACTTTCAAATCTATTAATTAATGGCTCAAAAACATCATTAAATATTTTAAGAGCGGTCCCCTCATATTTGAATCTCAATGTATATTTGTAATGAAAACTTTCAAAATTAAATTTAAGATTCTATATATGAAATTCGATTTCAACAAATTTATAGTCGAATTAAACATATTGACAAGATGAGCCCAACAAAATAAAAAAAAGGTTCAATCTAAGCCCCAAATCATAGGCCTGAAGTTTAATAAAAAAAACTTTGAGAAATTAATTAGATGACCAAATCATCTCCAAATTTGCATGCTTGCAGTCAAATTGAGCACAATATTTAATGAACCCAAAATCGCTTAATTCAAATATCATTAAGGTTTCTAAATGCTTAACAAACACTTCAAGATCAAATGAATTAATATGAGTCATTTGATGATAAGTTTTGGAGTTTCTCCATATTTGCGGGCAAGTCACTCTAAAAAAATCTATAAATAGGCCTGCATTATCTACATAAGAGGCGGAGAGGACTTGGAGTTTAAATTTTGGCTTGAGATTCATGATGGCTCTAAGGATCCTGGAGCACCTCCTGGGCGCACCACCTCCGAGCCACCGCCCAACCATCATTTGTTGATCCTTACCAGCCTACCACTATGATCCTCATATCATTGTAGCTTAAATATGATCATTTTGACCATCATCATCCATTTATTACAGTCCTACGACCATAATTACTTTACTACAATGCTCTCATCATCTTTGACCAACTATGAAATTGATTATTGTCACTCGACTACAACTCTTTTAACCACAATCACTCTCACAATCCTCTAACCTACAATCTTTTGACTGTTATTGCATGCCTACTCTAATACCTACTTATCCTCGTGGTCTTAAGAATCTATAAAGGTCATTCTATATCTGGTCAAGCGAGAAGGGCTCTCCACCTAGCTGTGTGCCGAAGTACAATTTTGTTTAGTGCAATATCGAAAGAGGAGGACATTTGGAGAGTCACTACATGAATATCACTCATTACCAGCAGTTTGTTTTGGCAGTTAGCATTAGATTTCCGACGATATTGTAAAACACTGGCGGCTTTTCGGCGGTTCAAAAGCCGTTGGTAAAAACTGCGTAGAAAACTTTTTCCGGCGGTTAAACCACCGTTATTACCAGCGATCACATAACCGCCATTCAGGACCGTCGGTAATTCATGAATTTCCTGTAGTGAGTCGGCATATGTCAATTCAACCGAACCACAATACATCTGGTTTGTGTTTTCTTATTTTTCCGAACTATATTTTTCTTTAAAATTAATTTTACCGCACTCTCGTTTTATTTATATTATATTTGTGAAAGAGATTTTTTGTGATTGATATTTGGTTGAACTGTTGTTTAAAATTTATAAAATAAAAATAAAATACATAAATATTTGTTTTCTAAAACTTTTATAAAATAAAAAACTACTTTAAATTGTTTAATATTTTAAACTCTTTCACATACCAATTTTTGTTTTAACAAAAATATTTTGAAATTCTTAAAAATATTTAAAAGAACCAATGCACCCCCTCACCCTCTTGGTATTTTATAAACACTTATAGCGCTTTAACTCGCTGTCATAACACTGCATGCTCATTTTAGATTTACCAAAACACCGCGCGTTGCAGTGCCATGATCAAGAAATTTCAAATTAAGTTTGTTTATGTATTGATTTTTAACTAATATAGTTGTTCATCTATTAATTAAGTTTACATTAGTTTTAATGTTTAATTTTCATTTAAAACTAATTATAGTGGATTTCTAACAGCCTTCCACCCAAAATTAATCGATATATATAGTTTTCCAGTGATCTTACCATATTAAAATTCCGCCGGAAATATTTAGATGATTTTTTCGGTGCATGACTCCGTCAGAAATTTTTTTTTTTTCTTTTTTTTCTTGTGGAACTATTCCACTAATGTTTCCAACCATTTTTCCGTCAGAAATATTTCCAACGGGAAATATTTTCAATAGAAAAACATTTCCTACAACCTTTTTTGTGTCGGAAACAAAGTCATTGAAAATTCATTGGAGAAGCTATTTAGTGGCGAATATATCTTTTTTCCAGCAGATTTGATCATCATAAACTGAAGAATTTCATATAATGACGCAACAGTAATCCTTCATGTACACTTACATGAGAAACAAAAAACATCAATGTTTTTTTTTTTTTTTAATATTTGGAAGTGGTATTAGTATTTTCATTTAAACAAAATCAAAATTGAGCTAAAGAGAGTTATCAACCAGGTGCATGCGCTCCAATTGGTTCATAAATATGGGAAGCTTAATTAAATACTATTATTCTATCTCATAAATTAAATGCAAGTATGGGCATGATACCGGTGGGTGGCCTCGCTACGTTCCATTGATGGATTAGTTGTGCCACCAAGCGCTTCCTTTGAAGTGACAGCGGATAGATACGCCCGTCCCTAAAAAATTGCATTTTATGTGCGTAAAAATATATTGTGTATAAGTCTTGATGAATATTTATTCGGCATTAATTAGAGCAAATGAAACTGGTAAGTCTATATATAATCCCAACTCATTAATTAAGCGGCAGTTTAATTTTCAATAGATGCAAATCGTTTGAGGACACTTATTTTAGGGAACGAGGAATATTAAAGTGACAAGGAGGAGGAAAAAGACAGAAGCGAGATGACAAAAAGCATTATTATTATTGCACAATAAAAAATAATTTTTTTTTTTTTTTAAATTACTTTGCATTGAATGTAAAACCATGTTCATTTAACCTTAGCCCCCCCTAATAATTAATTATTTAACCCGGGGGAAGGGAGGGGGTGGCGGGCTCCTCTTCCTTTATGAGCTGAAGAATCAGTTTGGGCCGGGTCGGACAATTTGGGCCCACAAATCGGGTCCCCGGGGAACAGTAGGACCCACATAACCTTACCATTTCTCAATATAGTTCTACATTAATATGCCTTTCTCATTAACCCCTCACAGGCTCACACACGCAGTTTCCTCCAGCTCTTCTTCTCCCTATGCTTTGCTTCTCCGTCATCCATCCACTCACTGACGTAACTCTCATTACTCTATATTTTCAGTATTATTAATATTACTATTTCTTCTCACTCTTTTTTTCTTTAAAAGAATTTTTCCTCACTCTCTCATATCTCTGCACTGCTTAGTTACTTGCTAGCATAATCAGCAGATCAGCTGAGAGACAATAGAGAGAGAGAGAGAGATGTCAAGCAGGAGAGGCAATAGCCGGTCGATCACCGACGACGAGATCAACGAGCTCATCTCCAAGCTCCAATCCCTTCTTCCGGAGTCCCGCCGCCGCAACACCACCAGGGTACTGTATACCTACATAGCTAATACTCTTCGATCGTAATTATATATATGTTGTAATTAAGTAGCATGCATGCAATTCACTTTACATGACAGAGGAGAGGAGAATAATCTAACAGCAAATATAAAATAATCGTTGAATTATTAAGACATTAATACTCGCTCTCATCTATATATATTAGGTTAAACTTTGTAGTTGGCAATTAATACTAGCCTGCATATGTAGGCATCTGCATCGAAGCTGTTGAAGGAGACCTGCAGCTACATAAGAAGCCTTCACCGTGAAGTCGAGGACCTCAGCGAGCGGCTGTCGGAGCTGATGGCAAGCATGGACAGCAATAGCGCTCAGGCAGAGATAATTAGAAGCCTACTCAGGTCATCATAAGTCTTCTTCTACCTGGGGTCAATAATATTAATATTAATGGACCCCTATATATTTCTAACCACTTGTAGTCTTTGCCTTATATATATATATAACAAAATATGAAATATAAAAGGTGTAATTAGGATGCTTAATTAACTAAATAATCGTCTAAGGTGAGCAGAAGTAATTTTAAGATGTGATGTGTTTTGTATTTTTTCTGTTCATATGTAACTACGAAGGAAGAATGCACAGTACTCTGATTGAGAGTTCAGAAGAAGAAAAATGGTGAAGAGAAATTTTAAGTAATAAATACAAATTAAATTTCTTTCACTAAAACAAATATAATTTGGTTATTATAAAAATATAATTCAAGCAAACTCTTCTTTCTTTTTTTTTTTTTTTTAATTTTAAATCCCCAGTGAAAAAAAAAAAAGAATTATTTTCTTTTTTCTACAATTCTTACTTCCAATTAAGGTGTTTAAGATGTAAGCTATTAATTAGAGGTTTAGTTGTTGACCCATACAATTTTTTTCGCTTCTAACCTTTTATTATAACATTTCACTATTGATTTGTTGTTTGGCTCCACATTTATTCTTTTACTCTTTTTTTCCCTATCTTCATATATTTTATAGCAATAATTAAACTTTCACATAGTTATAATACAAAAAGATAACTGATTATTAAACACAATAATTATTTAAACTAAAATATTAAATTACATTATTTATTACATTTTTGTTGTTCTTTCCTCACTTGCTCTCTGATCTCCCTCCTCTTCGCTTCCTCTTCTTTGCTCTCTTCCTTCTACCACTACATAGAGATGGCTCATCGATCCATTGTAATTATCAATATTTTTTTGTATTCATATATATATATATATATATATATATATATTAAATATATAAGTATATAGATTTAAAAATAATTAAGTTCATATATGTGGAAACCCTGAAAGGGAAAAAACCACAGGGCCTCGCCGAGCTGAAATAGTTCAACTAGTATTTTGTTTGAGATACAAGAGGCTGACTTGTCCACAAAGTTTAGGACGATCAGATTACAATGAATCTCTTATAAATTGAGATTCAGTTACAAAGTTGAGTAGAGTTCCAGCGTCGTTTCGAAGTTGAGTAGAATTCCGGCGTCACTCGGGCGTCAAGCAGAACTCTGGCGGTGGTCGAGGAGGAGTTATTCCCTCCTATCCTGCTCCTCTTCCACTCTTCTTCTTGCTTGGGTCCCCTCTCATAAGAAATAAATGGTCTATTTATATATTTTATGGAGTTGCATAATTTATAAAAAGTTGTGAGATCAGAGGCAAATAATTAAGGAATGGTCGAATGGACAGTTGATATTGAATCCCTTGATCGTGCACCGTTTGTCAGACATTTGAAGGTCTTAATGATGTTGGAATTCGGCGATCTTGGCTCATTGGATTCGTCTCGTCGAGTCGTTCGATTCGACTATAAGCTCATCAAAATCGGAGACTGTTTAGTAACTCAAATTACGGTATGAACTTTCCAACAACACTTTGGGTACTTGATTTGGGCTCATTTGGGCTCGAATTGAGTTGAATTTGGTGTCGTTGGATTTGTGTTTCTGAGACGCTCAGTTCGACTATAAGTTTGCTAAAATCAAATTTCAGGTGATCCTGGATTTGATTTTGCCTCGAGATTCGTGCCCGGTCAAGATAATTTTTTGATGATATATCAATATTAAAATTTTGCATTGTGTATCTTTGAAATCCATTTATTCTTCCTACAAAAGCTAATTAATCTTTATGAGAATCACATAATGTTAGATAATTAAGATTCTAATTATACTGTATTTATGATTACATAGTCTTAATTATTAGGATTAATTTTTTGTCGACCCACTAATGATTTGTTCCTTATAATATGTCTTATTTTACGTGTGGCATATTTAGACATATTAAATATGCATACTACGTATGCGACATTAAAGTAAAAAATAAATTATAACAGCTTGTAAAGGTAAACTTATTTAGTACATCTTTTTTCTATAAGATTTTTCCTTCATCTATTTGAGGATAAATTAAGTTACATACAGTGGTCCTATAGATTATTACTATTGAGAATAATTATTGTAAAAAAAAAAAACATGCATGAATTCATAATAAATCATTAGAGGCCTAAGCCTTAACAACTTAGAAAAATCACATGAATTTCATTTTTTTAAGGCCAAATGACTTTAAAACTTCATAAAATGATATTGAGATGATTACAAACCTCTGGATTTAATTTCATGTAAATTTGACGCCATTTACTTGAAGAATTTGCAAATCCTAATTCTAGCCTGGGTTAGGTTACCCTTGGGAATAGGAAACTTCAATAACTCAAAAATATTTATTAAAATTCTTAAAAATAAAAAATGACTTGCAACAAAATCAATACAAGATCAAGAATCTAGGACAAATAGTGTCAAACTATTCCAAGATAATAAATTAGGGTTTCCTAATTTCTACAAGAAAATTTAAGTAAAAAATTAAATAAATCCTAAAAAATCTAAAACTATTTCAAATCAACTAAAATTTTTATATAATTGTATTTAAATTTGAGAATTATTTCAATATAATAATCGTTAGATTTAATAAATAAATCATTTAGAAATTTAAAATTTGTTTATAATTCAATAAATTTCAAGAAAATAATAAATAAATTATTATAAACTCTCAAAAATTAAATTATAATAAACTAAATAAATTGAGTTAATAATAAATCAGAAATAAAATCTCCCATCAGGCCATCACAAACTCTTAAAAATAAAATAAAAGCTATAAAACAATAAAAAGTTAAAATAAAATCACCTCTGAATAAAAATTAAATAAAATTAAAACTAAAATAAAATAAGCAAACTAATAATAGAGTGCACCCACACGACCTAGGACAAACTAAAATAAAATAAACATGTTATTTAAATGTTTTTTTTTTTTTTTTTTTTGAATTCATTATAGAATAACATATTTGTATTTTTAGATAGTATATTTTTAATATGTTATTATAAAAATAGAATTTTAAAACTTAGATACTATTTTCCCAAACGTTGATCGACTGCTAATCTGCTACCATCACTCTTAGTTTTACAGCTTAAGTTCCAATCACTCATATTGGGTTTAGGTTACAAACGCCTAATTAATACCGTCAGACCATTTTCATTTGGTTAGATCCATCCAATTAAATGCCTTTCAGCTTAAATCGATTCGATGATATTTTCTTCCAACACCCTGTATTCTTGTAATATTAGCTTCTTCATATTAAGAATGGCAAACTTTCATAATTAGCACTCACATATTAGAATCATTTAATTGGGCACGACCCTGTAATTTTTTTCCCTTTTTTTTATTTTACACACAAAAAATCTACTTTTATATGTGATATATCCTCAAAAAATTATTTTGATCGGACACGAATCTTGAGGCAAAATCGAGCCGTAAACTTCAAAATTAAATCCGGGGTCACCTGACATCCGATTTCAGCTAACTTACAGTCAAATTGAGCGTCTTGGAAATATGAACTCAACGACACCAAATTCGACTCAATCAGAGTCCAAATCAAGCACCCGAAGAGTTGTTGTAAAGTTCAAACCATAATTCGAGTTACCAAACGGTTTTTAAATATGACCTTCTTATAGTCGAATTGAGCGGCTTGACGAGACGAATCCAACGAGCCCAAGATCGCCGAATTCCGACATCATTAAGACCTTCAAATGTCTGACAAACGGTGCATGATCAAGGGATTTAATATCGGCCGTCCATTCGACCACTCCCTATTTATCCCTGATCTCACACCTATTTAAAAGCTATGCCACTTTAGAATATCTATAAATAGACCCCTCATTTCTCATAAGAGGGGACCCAAGTAAGAAGAAGAGGAAGCAAGAAGAGAAGAAGAGAAGGAAGAATAGAAGATTAAGAGGGAAGAAACTCCTCCTCGACCATCGCCACCGGAATTATGTCGACCGACTTCCACGGGACACTGGAATTATGCCCGACTTCCACGGGACGCCGAAATTTCGCCTGACTTTCCAAGTGACGCCGGAATTCCGCCCGACCTCCAAGTGATGCCGAAATCCCGCCCGACTTCCAAGTGATGCCGGAATTCCGCCCGACATCAGGCTAAGTGACGCCGGAGTTTCTGCCCGAATACCATTTAATGTCAGAGTTCTCCTTTGCCGCCAACTGACATCAGACTTCTACCAGACTTCAGACCTTTGCTCATCGCCAAGTTTTAACCCGACGCCGGACTTATGCCCGTTGTCGGGTTTTCGCCGGACATCTATCTGATGCTGGGTTTCTGTCCATTGATAGACTTCTACCTGAAACGATCCTCTAACTTACGTCGCCCACCTACTACAATCCTTCTGACCTTCGTCGCCCACCGACTACAGTCCTTCCGACCTCTGTCGCCCACCGACTACAATCCTTCTGACTTATGTCGCCCGCCGATTACGATCCTACCGACTTACGTCGCCTTCCAACTACAATCATACCGTTCTCTGTCGCCCGTCGACTACGGTTCTTCTGACTTACGTCGCTCATCGACTATGATCATTTTGACCAAACAAACATGTCAACAGTGACTCTTTGTATTCTCATTATGTACTTCATACAATGTACATCATACAATGTACATCAAGCCAAGGCCTTCCCCCTAAGGAAGGGCCCCAATTGTAATCAATTGCAAATAATAGTGGATTCATTCAAATTGGGCTAGACCCCGTGGTTTTTCCCCCTTTTTTCAAGGGTTTTCCACGTAAAAATTTTTGGTGTCTCCTATAAATGCAACACCCTCTCTCTCTTATCTGATTGCATGCCGGATTTTCGTATAATGCTAAGACGTTAATTTTATATTTCTCTATCGTCGCGAATATTTCAGGATGCAACAATGTGTTCTATCTATTTATCTATTTGTGTATTAGATTCTTATGCAAAATTATAAATATAATGCTCTCACACTTTATAGTTGTAAACTTTTTTGTTGAAGCAACAATAATAATAATAAAATGGATGGATGCAAAAAAAAACCTAATGACAAGCTGACAAGGAATGGAAATGTTATTAATATATACGATAAAATTGAATCTTTTTTCTTTAATTTTATTTCTTCCACTCGCAGTACAGTCTTTCCAGCAATTAAAAAAAAAAACTCATTTTTTTAATTTCAATATTTAGGTAAGTTTATATTTTTCCGCATTATCCCACATAAAATGTCAACTTAGAGCATCTCAACCGGAAAACTCATTTTA